TCTGACGGCAATTGTTGACTTATCTGTTTCTCCTTACAGTTCTATCAGTTTTTGCTCCACCTATTTTGAAGCACTGTAATATGTGAATGTTTAAGACTGTTACTAGGATGTCCTCTTGACAAACTCACCACTTAACCCCTTCCCCAACAATTTTTTTGTTAAAAACGTTTCTTTTTCAGACTAATTTTTTTATTTTGGTTCTATATAGTATTTTTGATGCTGGTTATGAAAACAGTTTGTAACTCGTCTTCCTATAAACCATATTTTTTTACCATATTTTCTTAGTATACTCGTCGACGACTGAAAAAGAACATTTTGTGAAAACGAGTATACACGTTTCTGCCGGGGAAGGGGTTAAAATAATGCAATTACTTTCTATGACCATATTATCCCTGATATTATTCTTTGCTCTGATAGTCACTCAAGCTTTGTTCTGATTTTGGTGTTAAGATTGTACATCTTGCCGAAACCGGTTTGGCTCGGTGGATGGAGCATCGGCCTGCAGACTGAAGGGTCCCAGGTTCGATTCCAGTCAAGGGCATGTACCTGGGTTGTGGGCACATCCCCAGTAGGAGATGTGCAGGAGGCAGCTGATCGATGTTTCTCTCTCATCAATGTTTCTAGCTCTCTATCTCTCTCCCTTCCTCTCTGTTATAAATCAATAAAATATATTTTAAAAAAAGATTGTACATCTTTTTCCATTCTTGTACTTGTAATTATTTGAATCTTTAAATTTAAAATAGGGTTCATATAGGCAGCATGTATTTGTGTCTTCCTTTTATATACAATCTGATAATCTCTGCTTTATAACCAAGGTGTTTAGACCATTTACATTAATGTGATTATCAATATTAATATGTTTATGTTTAACTCAACCACCTTATTTGTTTCCATTTGTCCCATCTGTTCTTTGTTCTCTTGTTCCTCTAACATTTTTTCACTGAGAACACTGAGGATTCCATTTTCTCTCTTATGTTGTATTTATTAGCTACAACATTTTTCATGGTTGTTTTGAGGTTTTTAATACATTTTTAACATTTCAGAATCTACCTTCAAGTGATATCAATGTACAGAATAAGAACTTTAAAATTGTGTGCTTTTATTCCCCCTCTCCTGGCCTTTGTGCTATTACTGACATGCATTTTACTTCCACATGTATTATAGATCCCACAATACACAGTAATCTGGGGAAACCACAAGGATCACATTATTGTTTCCCCTCTCTCAGGAAACTTCGTCTTTCACTATCTAATGTTCAATAACTAAAAACTGTTCTTCATAAAATTTGTCCAGGTTTTAGCTGTTTAAATTAGGGAGGTAAATCTAATCCGTTACTTCATTTTCATTTGAAGAATAAATCTGAATGTTTTAAATGATGGCCAATCATGAAGGCTCTATTTCACTTTAAACCAAAGAGCATTGCCTATGCTATCCGGCCTTGCTGGAAGAGTCCAGTGTCTGTGTAAGAATCCCTGCTCTGCCTCTGACCAGAAAGTTCAAACTGCACTGCTTTCTTTGGTCACAAGGTGGCTCATAAGTCTATTTTCTGAATTTTCTTCAATGGTGAGACCTGGTGAGGCCAAGGAGGTCCCCAAGAAATGTGGCCAGACCAAGGACGAAGAAGCAAGAGTGGGCAATTCCAGGAAGCCCCCCCCCCCAGCTCCCCAACAGCCAGGCAAGGCCGCAAAGGCCCTCCTGGTGCCATTGGGCCCCACGGGAAGTCAAAGGTTAAAGAACAGCTCAGCAGATGCCAAGGCCTACAGGAAAACCAAAGCTGGTTCTCAGAGTTCAAAACCCACGGCCACCAAGGGTGAGAATGGTGTGGCTTCCCCAGCCAAAAAGAAGACCAGGGAACAAGGTCCTTAAAGAGACCACTACCCAAGGGGGCAGGGAAGGGTTGAAAGCCAAGGCTGCTGCTGCTCCTGCTCCTAAGGACAGTGGGTCCAAAACAGTACCTGTACCACTGGCCAGAATGAAAGAGGTCCTAAGGGCCCAAGAAGGCCTGGCATACCCACCAAGGCCTTGTCGTCCAAAGGGATCAGTACGAAGGCAGTCAAGAGCTAGAAGCAGGATGGAGAGACTATGATTCCATTGGAGTTTTTATTCCCCAACAAGCCATCACTCTATTTATTTTACTGTAACCTATTTATAATAAGGAATTTTTCCTCTAAAAAAAACAAAACAAGGGAAGCTGTTAGCAGAGAGCTCTCTCTCCAGAAACTACAATCTTAAACCCACCTTTCTCTGAGGCTTACAGAGCACCTTGGATCTGCCTACACACGGAAGAAATGTACATTTTTTCTGGGCATATGCATGTCTAATCCCCTATCACAGTATCCGTTTACATGTGAGCAAGCTTCCAGTTTCTCTTCATGACAGAACTGCTAAATACCCTGAGTTCAAGGAAGACAGAATGCTTCTGTTTGCCATGGAAGCTGGTGCAAATACTGGCAATCAAGAGTAAGAAGTATGGTAAGGCATAAGCTACTCTGTTCATCAGTTTTCTTTCCAACTTCAGTTTTTCTCTTTATAAACTTCTGTCTTGCACGAATGTGCCTGTGTGTCAAGCACCTGAAAGAGGGAAGGCTTTGGAATTACTTAAGCATCTGATTCGTGGTGTCTAGGGTTTGCGGTGTTACGTGACATTTTCACCTGTCTATTCACTTTTCCCTTTGGTTTCATTAGTGCTATTGGATGTTATAGTCTAGAGCAGGGGTTGGCAAACTTTTTTGTTAGGGCAGCCAGATAATAAATATGCAGGCTTTGCAGGCAGGCCATACTATTTCTTTGGCAACTATTCAACTCTGCCACTGTAGTGCAAAACCAGCCAGACAAATGTAAATTAATAAGCATGGCTGTATTCTATCAAAACCTTATTTATAGCTACCAAATTTTGAACTTCACAGTTTTGTATGTCACAAAATAGTCAATATTTTTAACCATAAAAAATGTAAAATTTATTCTTAGTACCCATTCTTGTCTCCTGCCCGCCCTCCCCCCCCCCCCCCCCCCCCAAAAAAAAAAAGCAATAGGCCAGATTAGGCTCATGGGTCGTGGCTTGCCAACTTGTTTTATTTATTTTTAAAAAAATATTTTTATTGATTTCAGAGAGGGAGAGGGAGATAGAAACATCAGTGATGAGAATCACTGATAGGCTGCCTCCTGCCCGCCTCTACTGGGGATGGAGCACACAACCCAGGCATGTGCCGACTTCCTGGTTCAGTCAACCATTGAGCCATGCCAGTCAGGCTTGCCAACTTGTTTTAGAATCCTCACTTCTAAGTTTACTTCCACAAAAGACTTAGTACATAAAATGTTTTCACCTGTTTAGCAAACTCTAAGGCAACTTATTTCCCAAGTTCTGCTGGGACACTTAAACCCAATAGTTCTCTGTTGAACTTCTCATAAAGATCTCCAGATTTGAGTGTCAATTGAATCTCCTGACATCCAACTTAGAATTCTTTGTATTCATAGGTTTTAGGGGGCTGGTATAACTGTCACAGATTGAAAGTGAACTCTGTTGCCTCACTCATCTTGTATACTCTAATGAACTAGGAAGGTTTCTTAGGAGAGAACTACACCTAAGGAAAGAGAACCAGACAGAAAAGATCTTTCCATGATGCTAAACACAGAGGGGATTTCTCCACACTTTTATGGAATAGTGTGAGGATTCAATTCATTGGGAGTTCCAAAGAAATCAGTGTGACTTTCTCACCTTGAGGCAGGGGTCCTCAAACTACAGCCCATAGGCCACATGCAAATACAAATATTGTATTTGTTCCCGTTTCGTTTTTTTACTTCAAAAGAAGATATGTGCAATGTGCATAGGAATTTGTTCAGTTTCTTTTTAAACTATAGTCCGGCCCTCCAATGGTCTGAGGGACAGTGAACTGGCCCCCTGTTTAAAAAGTTTGAGGACCCCTGCCTTGAGGATTCCTGAACATCAATACCAAGTAGAGAGAATGGGAATGGGCAAAGCAGCAGAGAAATAGAAGTACCTATTTCTTAGCTCAGGGGACTTGAGTATAGGACACCTGGCTTTAATTCCCCAAATAGCTGAAGGGAATATTTAAAGGGATGGGTCATGCAAATCCCAATGGGAACAAGAGCTTGCAAAAAGCTCACACTTATTGCATTAACAAGAAACCACAGCAGCCCTGGGAAGTGATATTATCTTCATGTTGATAAATACAATAATTTTTAAAGAGATAGGTCTCATTATTATAGATCCAGAGGTAAATTAAAACAGATTGTGACAGGCATGTTTAGTAAGTGTTCAGATGGCGTTTATCATGTGGTATAGCTATTCCAGTAGGTAATATATGTTTGGTTTTGAAAAAATGAGAAAATATAGATAAGAAAATAAATGCTTTTTAAAACTGCTTTATTAACCACAATAT